ACCGGCCGTGAACCGGCCGTTATTTGCTCTTTTTTGAATTTTTTTCCCCCGTTTTTTACTATAAATACCCTCACACCCCATTTTTTCCTATAAAATTAAGTTCAAGTCCTTATATTTATTTCTTTTTATTTTTTTCTATTTAAAAGTAATTATTTTAATTTATTTCTCCATCAAGTATTTTCAAATATATATATATATATATATATATATATATATATCCGGAACCGGAGTGAACCGGTGGACCGGCTCGGTCCGCCGAACCGTGTACAGTACGGGCCGGTTCCGGTTCCAGAAAAAGTGAACAGCGAACCGGAGTAAACTTGCCGGGAACCGGCCCGAACCGGCCCATGGCCGTATCTAACTTCTATGGGAACTTGGAAAGCGGTAAACACACTGTTTAACCTAGACTATTAACTTATGGGCCGGACTGCTTATCTCATCAACAAAAAAGGGTGAGTGGTTATGTTCCCTAATTACTTGGCGTTTTAATTTAAAAAAAAAACTCTAGTTAATAATATTTAATATATACAACGTCTCGCCAATTAAACAAACTTACATCAAAATCGGACGGATCGTATCCCAATTAGAACTATCGAAAAAAATACCGATTATTTTCAAAAGTGAAATTTAATTCCAATAACATTATAAATTATAAAACTTCGAAACTGAAATTTAGGAAATTCGATCAAAAAAACTTGTTCCAAATTGGAAATTCCGAATCCACTTTTATCACGACTTTCACCTCTAGCCTACCTTGCTTCCACCACTGTACCAATAGCATCTTCTGCTACGGTTTGAGCAATCATTTGTTATGCCTCACATCCGAAATAAGATCTATGATGTAAAATACGTAATATTATTCATATTATATAAGTGTAATTTTCGTTAAGAAGAAGAAAAAATAAACTTAATTTTTAATAATTAAAATTTAATCCAAAATCGGAGTCTAATGTGTATTACAATCTCATTCCGGACAAATCACAAAAATGAGAAAGCGGAACTGTGGAATTCGGAACGGAAATATTTTCCAAAATAAAAAAATACTCATATCGAAATGAGTGGATTCGGTAATCATGATTAAATTTCCAAACCTAGTAGCAATGGTGTTCGACTGTAGCGACGTTTACAACATTCATCACAAAAAGAATGAAACTAATATTTATTTACGATCAACCTTCTACGAATTCAGCATATTGATCGCAACAATGAAGTGGAATTAAAAGAAATAAAAATTGCAACGATTGTTCATTTTTCGTCGCTACATGAATTATACAAATAATTGTATTGTATATACTTTAGTATTTCACAAAATTTTAATTAAAAAAACTCTAGTATTTCGTCGCAAGTAAGATAAATTAATTTTTTTAGTCAATATTTTTTGCGCATATATTAGACATTCATAGCAAGAGTTAATTACGCAAAAAAAAAAAAAAAATTAATAATAATGCAAAAACATAGAAGTGTTTGCGACAATAAAAAAATATTTTGTCGCAATATCGTTTCTAACTATTACGAGGCATATAATCAATCATTGCAATGATTTGTCTCTATATTGTTTACGTACAGAAAATTGTGAAATTGCACATCATGCAACGATATTTTTATACGAACGTACACAAAATTAAATGGAGACTTTTTCGTCGCAACATAAAATATGGGCAATATTGATATTTGGCCTAGTCAGGGTGAATGGTTTGGTTACGAAATGGTACTAATTAGGGGTGAATTTACGCAAATCCAAGGTGGAATTTACTCCACAACTTATGCAATGCTACACCCGATTATAGGTTTGTTTGATGCTACACCCGATGAAATGCCCCGGATAATATTAACCATTGATCTGCACACAATCACATACACATCCATGTGTATGTGAGCTTAATTAGTAAAAAGTTATTTCACCACGTCAACAATTAATAATTACCGGTGTATTTCACCAGGTGTAGCATCTCAAAGACCTCCGATTATATTTTACTGGGTGTCTCCTTGTGACACGTGCCCCATTGTTGAGTTTATTTTTTATTTTCGAAAACAAACATCTCATTTATACGAAAGTTTGGATTCTCTTTTTTTTTCATCCTCCAAACTTATATTGTTTCCAAATTTATACTGTTACGTTGTTCTTAACTAAATTATGTTTATTAATTAATTTTGGGCTCTTGGAGAAGTATCCCTCAAAATTATTAATAGAGAGAAGTTCAATCCATATTTCACTCTTTGAGATATATGTATACTCATTTCACCTTCTCTCTAATTCCAAAATTGTTTATCCACTGTCTTTTTTCCACTACTCCCATCCCAACTAGGCCAAAACAGGACACTGTTATGAAAAATCAATAATTGCGACGAAACACAATCGTCGCAAAAGCTGCCAACAAGTCGTCGCCAAAGCGGTCGTCCTAAGCTTGCGACGAATCTATTGTTTCGTCGCAACATATGGCGACGAATGCATGTTGCGTTGCAATAATTCGTTTTTCTGGGTTTATTCATTTTGTAGCAAATAGCAACGATAACATTTTTCGTCGCAACTATTTATCCCTCAGTTCGCTATGTTTTTAATATTTTTGTCGCAACTATTTATTCATTAATTTACCCCTAAAAAACAGCCAGACGAACAATACTCATGAGCTCGCTCATGAATCACGTCAGGTTTCGGTGATCTGGAGTCGTTTCGCCACTTGAAAATGAAATTTTGCTATTTTAGGAAAGTTTTAGAAAATTCATATCAATTCATTGAAACATCAGATGAGGATTCCATCGGTTGTGTTGTTTCTGGTATTGCGAGTTCTATTAAAATTAGGTTTTAACTATTTTTCTATTTTTCCTTCTAAATGATCGTTTTTCCAAGTTTATTAAGGTTTTTTGAGTTTTAATAGCAATTAAAAAACTCTACCCCTATAAAAACAGCCAGACGAACAATACTCATGAGCTTGCTCATGAATCACGTCAGGTTTCGGTGATCCGACGTTGTTTCACCACTTAAAAATGAAATTTGCTATTTTTGGAAAGTTTTAGAAATTCATATCGGTTCACTGAAACATTAGATGAGGATTCCGTCAATTGGAATTGCGAGTTCTATTAAAATTAGGTATTGACTCATTTTCTATTTTTCCTTTAAAATGATAGTTTTTCCAAGTTTATTAAGAGTACTTATTACGTAGCTTTATATAATAAATACATATAAAAGTGAGATTTTTTTTTATTAGTTAGACATGGACTGTAAAAATGCATAAACTTGAAATATTAAACAAAAAGAAGAAAACTGTTAAATACTTGAAAAATTGATTTGGGGATTTATGAATGGTAATAACAAAAACAATTACCAAAAAAATTAGAATGTGGATTGTGATCCCTTGTGTATTATACGAAATGGGAATAATATAGATAGTGTACACTCCTATTTTTCGAGAAAAGAAAAATATTTATCGAACAAATAACATGCATCAAGAAAACTAAATTAAATATATCATAAACAATAGTAAAAAAATTGAAAAACAAATTACGAATTATGAAAAAGAAAAATTGAGAGGAGACCGCCAATATTCTACCGATGTTGTCGCATATGCACTATTGATGTTAGCCATGAACCTATAAAAAAACATACATTCGATTGTTTTATATAAACAAATATTACAAAAAATTATAAACCGAAACTATAAACTAAACAACATACATAGAACGATATAAATGATTTGTTTTACAAACAATATGATTACGAAAAGAAAAATACTATAATGTGCAGCAAGAATGTTCGTGTGCAAGTTAAAAAAATGTTTGGAGTAAAAATGTTATGGAACTGGTGAAAGGGTATGGGTATTTATACTTATTTTTGTAGGCTTTAAAAGGCAGATAACATGTTGATAGGGAAAAATATAATTATTGTAAGAATGACTGAATTTAAGTGATTAGATTTAATTTGATTTTGATTAGATGGATATTATGTTGGCTAACATAGAAATGTTTGATTTGATTTGAGTTTTTGAATATTAAATATATTAATAATATAAAAGCTAAAGTGGCATAAACCATTTAATTGGACTATTACCTTAAATATTGTATTCAGAATTAATGTATTACGAAGACAACGAAATAATTAGAGAATTTAGATTCAAATATTAAATGCATTTCGGTTTTGGAAAATGAATGAAAAAAGGAGTAGTTAATGCCATGTAGATGATGACTAGGATGACATATAAGCGTGACGCATGTCGAATTTTAAATGCATGAGGGTTTTAATTCATATATTATATAGATTAATTTGAATATAACAATATGGGAAAAATATTGCATTTACCTCTCTACGTTTTTTTTAAAACTATTGATTATAAAAAGGAAACTCATTAACCAATAAAAAAACACTATTTTAAAATGTAGGATAGATGAAGTTTGAAAATCAATAATGTGAAATTAATTCATTAATAATATGGATGATTATGGAAGTTAAAGTTTTTTTGAAATCAATGAAACAATGTGGACCCAATCTCCTCAATTAGAAAACTTTGATTTTGTATCTTAGTTTTATATATAATATAGTAAATTCGAACATATATATTTCTTTAATACAGAGAATATTAATATATAATATTAAATTAGGATAAAATAAAAACATATTGTCTGGTGTAAATTTATAATATCAAATGGTTTAATATACAATATTTTGTAATACAAATCCAAGTTTATGAATTAAAAAAATAAAATTTCCGTAACACCACCAATCATGCAATTATAATAAGGGAATATTTTAAATTGAATTTAAGACTAAATTAATTACTTTTAAAATTAAATTTAAACATAAATATATTTACAGTTTCCAAGAAAGTTGATATATTTAGAGCATTGATATAATTTCAGTTTCAGTCAAGTTCTTGTTAATGGCCGGTCCAACCTGTGACTAGGCAACTAGCACGACGATATCGTAGCATTCAACGTAAAACGATTTTTGGTTCGATTATTTAAATATTAAATAACTAGAATTGAAAAAAAAAAAAAAAAAAAAAAAGTTATCAATCTCAAAGCTGGGTAAACAATTCCCTCAGAATTGAACGCGGCCTAATGTTGGCCGCAAGTGGTTGAGCCTTGCACATTGCAAGACCCGAACCTTCGCTCATATCCACCATCTCTCCACCGAGTCTCCGCCACTCGAAGCACTGAACAAGCGACCCCACCGCCAATCCAACCACCCGCATAGCCAAATTCTCTCCGGGGCATCTTCTCCTTCCGTACCCAAACGGCAAATAACCGAAACCCCCTCGATTTTCTTGATCAACATCCACAAACCTTTCGGGCCTAAATTTTTCAGGTTGGTCCCACAATTTGGGATCGTTTTGTATGGCCCACGCGTTCACCAGCAGCATTGTCCCTCGAGGGACACTGTATCCCTCGACGGTGCAGTGCGCTGACGACTCGTGCGGGACCAGCATGGGGCCCGCCGGGTACATCCGGAGGGTTTCGTTTATGATCCCTTGGAGATACGGTAGCTTGGGGAGATCGGAATCTTCGACTAGCCTTGAGTTTCCTACAACGCTGTCGATTTCGTTCTGCGCCTTGGTTAGTGTCTCTGGATTGTTGAGTAGGCTTGACATTGCCCATTCCATGGTTGTTACTGAAGTGTCTGTCCCTGCTGATAACATCACCTACATATATAATTTTAGGGTAAATTACACCTATGCCCTTGAAGTATATTAAAATAAATTTAAGGTCCCTGTAATGTTGGTAATTACATCCACACCCCTGAATCAATTAACAGAGCCAAGATTTCATATCCTGGGACCGATATTCACTATATTTGTTTTCAACTGGGCAGTTAATGCTACCAGACGAAAATTTATAAATCGTATATAAACTAATAAGGATTTAAGAAATGTTGGGAGAGGCATGTGACTCCCTAACTTTTAGTTGTCTCCACCACTTTCTAAAACTAATAATCTGTTGTAACCCTAGCGAAATAACGTATCCAATGCATTATTTCATTATGGTTTCTAACAATGTTTCAGGGGTTATTGCAATTACCGATACACATGAACCTTAAAATTATTTTAGCATACCTCAGGAGTATAGGTGTAATTTACACAAAAAATTATTCGAAATGAAAAAAAAAATAGAAAAAGAAAAAACAGAGTACGCGTAATTTAATTAGAAAAAGGTAATTATGAGCAAAAATACCTGCATCAAGCCTCTGATAATTTGGTCTGTGTAAGGTTGAGGATCGGTTTCTTGTAGCGACAAAAGAACATCAATCAGCGTTTTATTATTACAACTAATTGTATCAGAATTATTATTATTCGTCTTCTTTTTGTGCTCATTAATCAAATCTTGCATGAAACTATTCCTTTTCTCCTGCAACACTTTCAACCTCTTCTCCAGTTTATCCACTCCAATCCACCTCAAAATCGGCAAAAAATCGCCCACGTTACTCGCGCCGCTCAGCTCGAAAGTTTCTTTCACAATCTTGCTAAACCTCCTCCCTCTTCAGTATTCACCGAATCGCCACCGCCGCCGCCGTCGCCTTTTGAGTAGAGAAAGTAAAATACAAGTGTTTTGTGGATGGAAAAATTACTTTTTTTTTTTGTTTTTCTTGTCTTGCTTATAATGATCTCTAGCACTCCATATTTATAGTGAGGAGTACATTAATCTACTAATAAATTATAAAATAACTCATAGACTAACAACTCTTTTAATTCTAATTTAATACTTAGGAAAATCAAAAGACAATTGTCTATACATCTAGACAATAGTGCTTCAAATTCACATTTATTCAATCCTCCACTTCTTCCAACATGAATGCCCACTTCTTCCAATATTGAATTGCCACTAATTCCAATATTGAATTCACATTAATTCAATTTATTCCAACATTGCCTCCCGGAAATTGAATTTACTTTTGATTCCCAAACCTTCAACATTTTTCGAAAAACGGGACCTCCAAGTGGCTTCATGAAAATTTCCGCAAGAGAGATAATTAAGCGAATTGTATCAAGTCTTGAAACGGGAGCAAATACCTCATTGACGTCTTCTCCTTCTTTTTGCTTGTATTCTTTTGCAACAAGCATCGCCTTGTATTTGTTGATGGAACCATCAAGATTGGTTTTTGTTTTGAACACCCATTTCACACCAATAGGAGATTTGTGTGAAGGTAAAGGTCTGAGCTCCCAAGTTTCATTTTTTTCAATCGCCTTGATCATTTCTTTCATCGCTTGATTCCATTTTTCTTCTTTTGAGGCATCTTCAAAAGAGATTGGATCCTCCCCGGCAAAGAATGCAAAGAAAATAGAATTTGTTGCATTCACCTCCTCCGTTTCATCATAGAGTTCTCTCAAACTCCTCGTTTTTCTTGGCGGGGGTGATGGTGAATTTTGTGGAGATTCATTTTCACCATCATTTGGTTGCATTGCTTGAGAATAGCCTTCTTCGTCTCCAAGGGTCGGCCAAGTTAATGATTCTGAATTTTTTGAAAAATCATAAGAGGATTTTTCATCAAAACGAACATCCCGACTTATCACAATTTTTTTCGTTTGAGGATTGTAAAGCTTGTAAGCTTTTGACCTCTCACTATACCCAATGAAAATGCATTTTTCGGCTTTATCGTCGAGCTTGGTCCTCATAGCATTTGGAATATGTGAATATGCAAGACAAGCAAATATTTTAAGATGACTAACATTTGGCTCCTTACCATACCACACCTCATTTGGAGTCTACTGTATATTATCAAATTATATATATCACAACCGTATGAGTGCAAAAGCTCAATTATAGATTAAATGGACCTCCAAACCAATTATATATTGAGGAACTCGTTACCTTGTAAAGAGAATCAGGGGGAAAAAAGAATTCACGAAGAGATAGTTCCGCAGGGAGAAGGACACAGGGGCGATGGTTGTGTACGGGGAGAAGACGAACGAGGCGACGACAACCTGGTACAATCGTGGCGGCGAATCCTGGAGGCGAAGAGACGACAAATCGTGTAGGTGAAGAGACGGCGAATCGTGGCGGTGAAGAGACGGGGCGAAGTGCAGCGGTGAAGCGTGGGTACGAAGTGCGGCGGCAAAGAGAAAATCAATCTGGGAGAGGGAGAGAACAGAGCAGCGAGAAGAATTAAATTAGGGCTTTATGTGAATGCTCAGTCAATTGCGACGTTTAATAGTACTTCAAAATAAAAATACATTTAACTATTGCGACGAATCCCATTAACTAATTCGTCGCAATAGAGAACGGAGTAAATTGTGTCAAATCCTGTGCGACGACTTTTCACGTATTCGTCGCAATAAATTGTTATAATATATAAACCAAAGCATATTGCGACGCAAATTAACATTTCGTCGCAATAATTATTTTTAAAAAAAAATTATTATTAGAATCATGCGACGAATCATTTAAAATCGTTGTAAAACGAGCGGGAATTTATTTTTTCACCAAATTTCGCGACGTTTACTACATAATCGTCGCAAAGATTAACAAAAAATATTTAATAAAAAAAATATTTTACCTGTTTGCGACGAACGTCATGATTTCGTCGCAAACATTTTTCTTTTGCAAGGGAGTTTTTTGTGTTGCGACAAATGTTGGCAATAATCGTCGCGAGCATGCGACGAAATTCATTTTCGTCGCTACAAAATCGTCGCCAGAATGCAGTTTTGGCCTAGTGTCGTCGGTGATCGATTGATCAAATAAACGGCACAAGCGACCGCTTCAGCCCAAAACTCCGATGGAATATTTTTCTTTTTCAACATACACCGAACCATATCCATGATTGTTCGATTCTTTCGCTCCGCCGCGCCATTTTGTTGCGGTGTATACCGGGCCGTCAATTCATGTCTAATCCCATGGATTCGACAAAATTCTTCAAATAAATAAGATAAATATTCTCCACCACGATCACTCCTCAAATTTTTTATTTCGAAACCGGAAAATTTCTCAACTTGGATTTTAAAATCTTTGAAGCATGAAAGAGTTTCGGATTTTTCTTTCACAAAATAAGCCCAAACTTTTCTTGTAAAATCATCAATAAATAACAAGAAATAGCGATTAATTACCACCGAGAGAGGGAACTTGAAATGGTCCACAAAGGTCACTATGAATGAGCTCCAATAGTGACATTGATTTCCAATTTGACTTGGAAGGAAATGGCTCTCGGTGTTGCTTCCCCAATTGGCATTCTTCACAAATTTCGTCCATGGCTTTAATGTTCGGCAATCCTTGAACAATTGTTTTGTTTGATAACTCCTTCAAACTTTGGAAATTAAGATGCCCGAACCAGTCATGCCACAACTTTGAAACATCGTCCTTCACGGTTAAATGGCAAGAGGCTTCAAAATTATCAAGTTTGATCGGAAAAATATTATTTCCGGTCATACCGATATTTGCAATGTGTTGATCCTTCTTTTTCAAAACGCAAGTGAAGTCGTCGAAAAACATGTTGAAACCTTTCCTCATCAAGTGACCAACACTTAGCAAATTACTTGCCAAATTAGGTACATAGTAAACCTCAGACATTGTTTCGACTTTTCCGGATTTTGTTTTGAAGACAATTTCTCCAACACCTTCTAATGCGTAGGTGTATCCATCTCCAAGCGTAACTGTCCCATGGCTAGCTTCGACGAGATTTGAGAATAATTTTTTATTCCCCGTCATGTGCTTGCTCGCACCACTATCCAAATACCAAGTATTTTCAAAGCTACCGTTGGATGCAATCAATAAAGTCTCCATATTTTCGACTTTATTTTCATGCAAATAACCAACTTCTTGCCTTTTTTCTGGATATTTTTCCCAACAATCATTGATTTTGTGTCCCGGTTTATGACAATAATGACACTCAATGTAAGGCCTTGTACCTTTATATGATCCTCGTCCTCGGCCTCTTCCTCTTTGAAAATTGTTCGGAAAAAATTTCTCCTCTTCTTTCGCCTCATCATTTGATTTGGCTTGTCCACGGGAATTGTTGTAAGAGTTTCTTCCTCCTCTTATTTGGCCACGACCTCGGCCACGACCACGGAACGAGTCACGGCCTCCCGTGAATGTAACTCGGGATCTTAATGCTTGATCCGGAGAAGAAATTTGAGGATTTCTTTGAAGGATCCTTGCTTCGTGTGCCTCCAATCGTCCTTGTAGACTCTCCAACGCCATTGATGAGAGATCTTGTGACTCTTCGATAGCCACAACAACATGATCAAATTTCACCGGCAAGCTTCGCATAATTTTTTCGACAACCCTTTGGGTTTCCATGACTTCGCCATTTATCGCCATTTGATTTACAAGAGAGGTGATTCTTGTAAAATATTCAACAATTTTTTTCGTTTTCTTTCATCTCCAATTTTTCGAATTCAGCCCTCAAAGATTGCAAATGAACCTTCTTTACTTCATTTTTCCCGGCATAGGTTGTTTGTAGAATTTCCCATGCCTCCATGGAACTACTCGCCTTGGTTAGTCTTTCATAGACGGGAACTTCGATGGCTTGATATATTTGGAAAAGAGTTTTTCGATCTTTTTGCCTTTCGGTTCTCAAAGTTTGCCTTTGTGCATTTGTCAATTGATCCTCATTTTCGGGAATCTGAACACCGTCTTCAACAACGCTCCAAATGTCTTGAGCTTCAAGACAAAGCTTCATAAGATTACTCCAATAATCGAATTTTTCTCCATTGAAACGAGGTATTAGAGAAGCAAGGTTGGTGGACATTTTTAAAATGGCTCTGATGCCAATTTGTAGGCACCAGGATAGGATAAAAATGATTAATCCCGAATTTGGATTTTAGTGATTTTGTGTTGAAAAAATAATATTTTTGAGTAGAGAAAGTAAAATACAAGTGTTTTGTGGATGGAAAAATTACTTCTTTTTTTGTTTTTCTTGTCTTGCTTACAATAATCTCTAGCACTCCATATTTATAGTGAGGAGTACATTAATCTACTAATAAATTATAAAATAACTCATAGACTAACAACTCTTTTAATTCTAATTTAATACTTAGGAAAATCAAAAGACAATTGTCTATACATCTAGACAATAGTGCTTCAAATTCACATTTATTCAATCCTCCACTTCTTCCAACATGAATGCCCACTTCTTCCAATATTGAATTGCCACTAATTCCAATATTGAATTCACATTAATTCAATTTATTCCAACAATTTCGCCGCCGCCCGCCGCCGCGAGGCGCTTGAGGAGCGACCGGACCTCGTGGCTGCGAACGTCGTCGGACATTTGGATGCGGCGGGCGGAGAGGAGCTCGAGGGAGGCCAAGCGGCGCAGGTTGCGCCAGTGGTCGCCGTACGGGGCCCATGCGATGGTGGTGTAGTTGTAGCCCAGGTGTTTTCCGGCGAGCAGCCTGGGGCGGTTGGCGAACACGGCGTCGTTCCGGGTGAAGCACTCCTCGGCTGCTGTGGGGGAGGACACGTGGAGAACCGCACGGGAGCCGAACTGGAGAAGCATGACCGGTCCGTACTTGTCGGAGAGATTAGCTAGGATTCGGTGGATGGGTTTCTTGAAGAGATAGAGGTGGCCTATGATGGGTAAGGAGAGAGGGGGGCTTGGAGGGTATTTTCGTAATTTACTAAGGAGAAAAGAACCCACTGTATAGAGAAAGGCGAGGAGGAACAACAAGTGTAGGAACTCCATTGAAATTGAGAGAGCAGTTTTCTGGTGTAAGCATGGTTCGGCAGAACAGAACAATGCATTGTCGCGGACACTGCCGTTCCAGTTCCGTTGCAACGTCGCGGCTGCGTCGCGGCCGGAACGGACACATTTTAATTAAATTGTTAAAAAAATACAATATATTTCAAATATGTTTTTAATAATATTATTACAATTCAATAATATGCAAAATATTATTACAATTTCAAAAATAAATATTACAATGAATATTATCAAAATACAAGCAATATTAATACCAAATAGAATACCGAGTTGAAATTGTGTAAGATATAATTGAAGAGTGAGGCCAAATATCATGTGATTCAGGGGAATCTCCATTCTCTAACGTGGTCACCACCATCATATTATTTCTTCTTTTTCTTTTATGTTTTTGTTTCCTTATTTTTGTAGTCAAATTTGTTTTTTTTTTTTCAATTTTTTTTTTCTGTTTCGGAGTCGTTCCGGTGCCGTTCCGGCCGCGTCGGGGCCGTTCTGTGGCTCCAACTCGTCCATCCCACCGATTTCTCGGCGTTCCAATGAGTAACGGTGAAAAATCGTTCTAGTTACGGATTCCGGAACGGAGGGCACCGTTCCCGTTCCAGAACGGCCGTTCCGACCGTTCCGACGCCGTTCCGGCGAACCATGGGTGTAAGCATGGTTCGCCGGAACGGAACAGTGTATTGTCGCGGACACTGCTGTTCCAGTTCCATTGCAACGTCGCGGCTGCGTCGCGGCCGGAACGGACATATTTCAATTAAATTGTTAAAAAAATACAATATATTTCAAATATGTTTTTACTAACAATATTACAATTTAATAATTTCCAAAAATAAATATTACAAAGAATATTATGAAAATACAAAAAATATTAATACCAAGTTGAATACCGAGTAGGAATTGTGTAAGATATAATTGAAGAGTAATGCCAAAGATCTGTGATTCAGGGAAATCTCCATTCTTTAACGTGGCCACCACCATCATATTATTTCTTTTTTTATTTTCTTTTATGTTCTTTTTCCTTATTTTTTTTAGTTAAATTTGTTTTTTTTTTCAAATTTTTTTTTCCTGTTCCGGCGCCGTTCCAGTGCCGTTCCGGCCGCGTCGGGGCCGTTCCGTGGCTCCGTCTCGCCCATCCCACCGATTTCTCGGCGTTCTAAGGGGTCACGGTGTAATACCGTTCTGGTTACGGATTCCGGAACGGAGGGCGCCATTCCCGTTCCGGCCGTTCTGACGCCGTTCCGGCGAACCATGGGTGTAAGTGATGGTGGACTTGTGTTTGTGCCCGCACTCTGCATTTTATAGAGTGGTTTCATAAACAAATTTTGCACCAAATCTCTTTTATTTTTTTATTTTTTTTTTGGGTAAAATTCATTTTACACCCGTACTTGGATAAATACAATGAGAAATGTATTATTTACCCCGATGTATATAAAAACATTAAATTTGAGTGTCTATATTTTATGGTCAGTGACCAGAATTTCAACAGTGTAAAATTTGAGTATGCAATCCTGCTTTATGCCCGAGAGAAATCATAATTTATTTACGTCATTTACTTTCTAAACAACTCTCTTTGATTTTTAATCAAGCAAACAACACCTACAAATTAAAATATGTACACTTATGCTTAGACCCAATTGGATTTTGATTTTCACCTTGTTTACATTTGTTCTTCTTCTTTTTTTGTTTTTTTTCTGGCAGGGTGTTTTGTCCAATCGGGATGTTAAAATTCAGTATTTGGTACCCAATATGAGATTAGTTTAGATAAGATAATGATGATACTATAAATATATCACCTTAAATAAATGAGGTATGATGAGCTAAGAGAGCAAAGTGGATTACTGGCTCACGAGCTAGATGGTCTGAGATATCTGCGAACAGTGAACACGTGAGCTAGGCCGGAGTTGATCCGGCGGAAACCCCTCCTACGTACAAGTCAGACGTGCAGATAGTAGAAATATTCCAGAGAATACATGTTGTACTATTGTTCAAATAATAGGACGTACATTAAGAAATGAGTTCAAACATTTATTTATAGCTTAGTTGAGATTGTCGGGCTCATACCTTACTCAAAGGTGATTGGACCTCGGTGATAGTGATCTTCAATATTGAATATGTGGCCCATTAAGTAAGAAATTGTAGGCACAATAAATTGACTCGATTAGGCATATCAGATGATAATTATGACTATAAAATTAGGAACATTACTCAATACAATGTTGATTATTAAATTTTGGATTTTGTTATCTCATCATTTATTAATAGTGTTGATATTTGTTCCCTTTACATCACCCCAATTACTTTAAAATGACTTAATTTCCCTTCTATTTTATACAGTCTTTTTAAGTTACTTTATTTATTTAAAAAAAAATTAATTTTACTTGTTTTGTTGTTTCTTTGTATTTTAATTATTTTCTCAATATTATTCCTTTTTTCATTTTTATTAAAAAAATTATTAATTATTCATAATAATCTGACGATTCTTATTTTTTTTAGTAATTTGTGTTTTGACTCTTTCTATTTTTTCCATATATTTTTTTTCATTGTAAGAAATTGACATGATGGGAAAACAATTGGAAGATTAAAGCTATATATGGGATTAAAAAAAAAGTTGGATATTTAACCGGTGGATTTTTTGTTTTCATAATTCCAAAAATCGAAGAAGTAAAGCTAAAATAAGTACCAAAGCACATGACATATATTTTTTTTATACCAAAATCGTTTCTAAACCATAGTAATTTTATGTGGTGTTAGTGATTGTGAATTAAGTGGACATTTAGTGCTTATTTCGAAAAGTTGTAGTTTTTTGCAAATATTCAAGAAAATAAACTTGAGTAGAAAAGGCAGAATTAGGGTGCTTTTAATAAATAGCTTAAAACAACTTATTTTTTAAAAAGTAAAAAAATAAAAGGTGATTTTGCAAAAACCTAAAAACAGATTATAAGCCAAAAAAATATTATGTTTGTAAAAACTTTTGCAAACACCACCTTAGTAACGAATTTCTAACGAATTGAATATCCAAATATCAGTGACTGAAAACATAAATGCTCCCAAATACTTAGGAGTTAGGACGGTGGGCTATAGTCAGATTTTAATTAAGGGCGAATGGCAAAAAGGCCCATCACATGGGACTTAAATGCATTTTGGTCCACAAAAAGAATAGTCTCTCAATTAAACCCATCCCCATGTCTTTAGTCTAAAATACCCTCAATAGTATAATTCTTATCAATTCCACCCATTATGCTCTAACTTCCTTAATATTACACATTGACCCCGGATTTAAACAAATATATCACATTAACCCCCAAATCTTTTTTTTTCAGAAAATAATTTTTTTCCTGAAATATTTTTTTTCCGGCCAGTTTCCGGCGTTGAATTTTTTTTTTTAATTTTGTTTCCTCAGAAAAAAAAATATTTTAATTAATATTACTGTTTTGGCTACTAAATTACTGTCTCTGACAGGAATATTACTGTTTGGGACAGTAATATTATGAATATTATTTTCCCGAACAGTAATATTATTAATATTATTGTCTAAGACAGTTAAATTATTGTTGGAGACAGTAATTTAGCATCCAAGGCAGTAATATTAATTAAAATATTATTTTTTAAGAAATAAAAAAAAAAAAAAGTCAATTAACAGTTGAATTATTGTCTCCGACAGTTAAATAACTGCTGGAGACAGTAATTTAGCAACGAATATAGTAATATTAATTTCAAATATTTTTTTTAAAAATACAAAAATCAATTAACAGTTAAATTACTGTCTCCAACAGTTAAATAACTGCTGGAGACAGTAATTTAGCAACGAATACAGTAATATTAATTAAAATATTTTTGAAGAAAAAAAAATCAATTAACAATTAAATTACTGTCTCCGACAGTTAAATAACTGTCGGAGACAGTAATTTTGCAGCCAAGACAGTAATATTAATTAAAATATTTATTTACGAAAAAACAAAATTTCAAAAAAAAAAACAAAAAAGGTCAACGCCGGTCAACGCCGGCGACCGGCGGTCTCCGGTGGTGGCGGGTCGAATTGGGGTCAAAATTGAAATTAGGGTTAAAATTGGTTAATTGATGAAATTTGGCTAAATTGGGGTGTAAATCATGAAATTGGAGTTGAATTGGGTTTCAATGAATTGGGGGTAATTTTGGTATATATAAAAGGATTTTTCTTATTCGCAAATAAGTTTGAATGGGTGGATTTATTTGAAAAACAAAAAAAGTTGAATATCCCTCTTTTAATTAAGTACCATTGTCATGGCCATTACCCCTTTAATTAAATGGGTAATATGCCATAAGTCCCTCAAACGAAACATAATTTGAACTAAATGACAAGTTCAAATCCAATCTTTTAATTAAATCCTTAGTTTGAAATAATATATGAGCCACATCCCTAATTTTTTTTTATCCCTATCTTACCCTTATACCCCAATTATATAACCTATACATTCACGTTCTTCAATTTATATTTATTCCTTTTGTTTTCTCTCTCTCACGTTCTCTCTCACCGTTCTATCTCTCACGTTCTCTCGATCTCTCACCGTTCTCTCTCACATGTTTTTTCTTATCTCCCTTTCTCTCTCTTCTCTATCTCTTTCTACTTTCTCTCCAATAGCAGCATGAAGGCCGTCGCCGGCGACGGAGGGAGAAGGAGCAGGGGCCACGGTGGAAGCCGGGACGGCGGTGGCAGCAGGAGGCATGGTGGCGGCGATGGCAGCGGCGGCGGGTGGAGGCGCGGTGGAGAAGGCGACGACATGGGGTTGTGTGGTGGGGGCCGGGGTTGTGGTTATGGTTGGGATGTTATTGAAAGCATATTTTGACTAATTAATCGCATCTAATTTTCTTATATTTTAAGAGATATTGCTTGATTTGGGTTCATATGGCGGATCTAGGGTTTTTCAAAGTCGGTAGGTGGATACAGTCGCGGCGGCTGCGAGCGGTAACTGCTAGGGTTCGCGGCGGCTGAAAATTGTTGGCGGTTA